TGTAAACAGAAGTGCTTCGAGTTACATTTATTTCCTGCAAAATTAAAACAAAAAATATATATCCATCATCCTTGTCATACGAGACGGGTTGGGCCATTGGGGATGCGAGCATGTTAAGCAAAGGTGGGGACAGAAAAGAAGAAAATAAATATATATTTTTTTTATTATTCAATAAAATTACCTAATATGATAATCACCATAAATCCAGCCCCTGTTTGGTACATGTTCTTTCAAAATATATTATTTTAAAACTCACTTTCAATCACACATTTTTCAATAAAATAATATTTTTTTATCACATCAATAACTTTTCTTTACTTTTTAATCACATATTTCCCGTTATATTACTATTTAAAATACATTATTTTCTCAATAATATCTATCAAACACACATCTAATAAACATTTTGGGATAGAAAAACATTTAATGGATTTCTTTACTAGCGATTCAAGTGCTACAAAAAAAGTCAAGATAAATTGAATAGAGACTTAATCTCTTGTTTGATTACAAAATGCTGACGATTAAAACCTTAGAAAAGAAGAACAACTGAACAAGGTGTGTTTCGATAATAGACAGCATGAACAAGCCCACGTGGGAGAGACAAATCTCTGTCAATAATAGTAATAGGTTGTTCGAGTGCAGCAATTTCAAAATTTACAAGCCTGTCTCCAATCTGTTGTTCCCTATAGTAATAGGTTGTTCAATAATATTTGTTCCCTATGCTTCAATCACTACATGTGCTTATGCTCTAAGGATACAGAGTGCACACAATTGGGATCAAAGGCTCAACACGACATGACAAGTTACACACAACTTAGGCCAATATGCGTCGAGCACTACGGGTGGAAAATTGCGGGTTGTGGTTGGCCAGGGCCCATTATTGATATTATTATTGTGTACAAAATATGATCGAAAAGTTTGTGGTGGCGACACTATCTATGCAATAAAGAACAAACTCATTGTATTCGTATACAATGAAATGAAAACTTGATAGCAAAAAGAGAGGTGCTAGTTACTTTTCCAAGATTCACCATCTTAGGTTCCAAATGCTTTAGTTGATAATCACTAATTGCGGATTAAAGATAGATGGCATAAATCTTATAGGGAATCTGCTTTTCTATTCCTTTCATTTTTACATGCTCACCTTTCAAAGGTGGGGCGAGAAATAAAGAAGCTTTTTGTTTCACAAACACATCCTCGTTTCTTTCTTTTTCCCCCTTTGGTGCTACCAACTCATTTTCTTAAATATAAATCAGAGTTGGCTGAAATGATGTTCAGTATTGTCCAATCCAACATATCGAACATATCATGAGAGCACTACACAATCTTTGGATAGTTACTAACTGCTGTTTTGGACTACAATAATACAAAAGAAAGACTGCAATAAATAATAAAGGTATTGGTTTTACTAGACAACATGAACAGTACGAGATTTCTATGAAAAATCTGCACTACATTTTACAATTTCAGTGGACAAGCAAGACAATTTATGAACTCAAAAAGACAACTAAAGTGTTGTTTTTGATGATCCTGATCTTACGTTCTCACTTTTCTAAATTAAACAGAATCTATCGAGGAACACTGCAGATGCTTTCACATTGATGTAACATTATATAGCTACCAGTAACTCTATATTATGCACTTTGACATCATTTTTTTTTTGTCAACTCAATGCCGATCTTTATACAAATGTATGCTCCAAAACAATATTTTGGAACTATTTACATCCAAACAGAGAAAACAAAGTCATTATTGGATCCTTAAAGCAGCAATTAGTATCACGATTACTATTGGAGAAACAAGAAAAATAATATATGGGACAGTACTGCTCAATGCACCTTCAGCTAATTCATCCTCTTGCACTGGATAATTTGTTTTCTTTTCAACAAATGCTTCAAAAAATTTTTGATAACCGGTGCTTGCAGGAGAAAGTGTAGAGCTTTTAACCTTCATCATTTCCATTGCCTGCCAAATAAAATGTGAATGTTATCGTGTAAATCACGTCACCCAGTGTCCCTACTAAGTTCCAATTTTGAATAATGGTTTTCAATTCTTTCAAATCAATTTTATACATAATAAGCAACTAGTCAACTACTCAATATACCTGGAAGCCGAATATAAATTGTTTTGCCTTCTTGCTTACTTGAGGATTTGGGTGAGACTGAAGCTTCTCATACATCACACGAGCTTCACTGGGCCTGTCAGCTCAAGTACATGCATGATTCAATTGTATAATGACATAATATTTCTACTTAAGTAATAAAATCATAAATCTTCAAGATTGCTATCCTAGCACTTCATAGTCAAGCATACACACAGATTCAGCATATAATAAATCTTCTAAAATGAGTGATAATGGTGATTGATAAAGTTTTAATAGAAGGAATGAAATTTAATCTTACTGACAGTTGATATTCTATCGAATGATTTGCTTTGTGTGTGTGTGTGGGGGTTTTTTTTTAAATTTATTTAGTACACATTCACAAGTTAAAAAACCTATTTATTTTGACCAAAACAGTGATTGAAAGAGTAATTCAGTTTTTGTTATGACAAAATTAGAATTGGTTCAACGAATTATAAGTGGAGTATTGTAGAGTTGAATATTCACAGATACAAAGATATATGAAGTTCAAAAGTCCTCCTGCAAAATTACCATAAGAGCATGACTAAACCTTAAAAACAATGAAAATATTCAATCCAAATGAATTATGACAATTACCACCATATAATGGTTGTCACCGTGGATCATTATTCGTGAATCAGAGTGCTTACATTAAGAGTCTGATGCAAATTTAACATTAACTAGAGAAGAATTTCTTGAACAAATAAAGAATTAAGTTCTAAACGTGTTATTCACATATAAGTGCCAAAGAAGAGCACTTTCTGAAAAGAGAGAGTATTATAAGAACACCTGCTGAGTGAGTCCTGACATATAGACCACTGCAAAGCTGCTAATCCATGAAGCTCAGTCTGCAATAGCAATGCATATGACATTGAATACATTTAAGAAGTTCTCTAAATATGCACCGAGATAATCTAGAAGTTCAATGAAAACTTGATCAACATCATAAGAAGAGCCATATGTCAAGATTGGCCTATCAACTCTCTCTCTTTTGAATAAATTTAAGTCTTTAAATAAGCAGATGTCTACCCTATAGCTCCATTCAAACTTTCCATAAGCATTATGCCTGGTGGCAGTTGTCATGAGATACTTATCTTGCATAAGGAAACAAATAGAAAATGATGTCTTGCCTGTACTAGGTTATTCATCAAGTTGGCCATCTATGAAATCTCACAAATAGTTTTGGATAATGTGGATGAATTTTAATTTTGTGCTGCCTATTTGGAGTCAAGTTTGTGACCAATGCAAAAGTTTTAGACATAAATGTGGACTGACTCCAAATCAAAAGAACTTTAAAAAGGGAGGAAAAAAACCAAGGATCTGTGGAAGATTGAAGAATTGATG